ACTCTTTCGCCCGGGCGGATTACTATTTCGCCCGGAGCTAATTAGTATCCCAGGAGACTTGGTGTATGATAATCGCTTACTCTTTGCAGGGGATGGATCATCCCCACGTTTTCGTCAAAAGAAATAAAAAAGATTTGTGAGTACTTTTTTCATTCAAAATCAATTCAATTGCAAAGTTTCTCATGAAGTGTGACCAGAGGTTGCTTTTTTGGGGGGGGGGGGAGCCACAGATTCGGGCTGGTGGAAAGGGCGAAATAATTTTTTTCTACAAATCGCAATCCATTTTTCTTTGGTCTGTCCCCAGTCCCAAAAGTATGGCCGGTTTCCGCCCACTCCACATTTTTCTCTCTAGCCTCACACTGCATTTTTCACGCTTTGGGTCACGGTCTTCAAGACTTTTTTTGACTAACTCATTAGAGTCATTTTTCAGTTGAGAATCGGACCTGCTGTTCTCGCGAAGCAGCCAAAAACCTACACTTAGTACGCACACTCGTTGCTAGGACATGCTGGCAAGCGCGTGGCCCCTAACTTCAAATGGCCTTAGCAACATCTTCAACTGAACTGAGAATGTACTGATCTATTGATTATTTTGTATTGAGTATGATTGTCTTTACATGCATGCAGAGTTTCATTGAACCTGCGTATGGGATGGCCGAGTTCGGGGGGGTGGGTGGAACCCGCCCCTTGGATGTAAGTGGTCCTCCATTCTTCTGAACTAATGTTCGCATGAATTCCTTTTAAAAATTACAAGGAAAAAGAATGGCTTTAAACATCGTTATAAAATGTGTTCTGGGGGGGGGGGTTGAATCTGTTCCCGTGTCCCTTCCCCGCTTGGACACTGAATACGCCACTGCACTTTATCTAAGAGTGGAAAAGGGGTTTGGTTTCTACATGGCAGGAGGGTACATAGTACTAAACTCCGAACCGATCATGAACGTCAGGGGGGTGCAGTTGCTCCTCCCACCGTAAACTATCGAGGAAAACGGCTAAAAAGGGGGAAAGGGACAAGAACAAAGGAGAAAACAGGAAAAATAGCTTTTTAAAGCTAGGTATAGGGCTTTTTATTCCCTTTAATCTATTTGTTGTCATATCTTTTGTATTTTGTTATTATTATTTTACATTATTCTTTGGGGAAGGCAAGTGCCCTCCCCGCCTTGCGACGCACATTTACCCATGCGTTACGATGCCAAGTCAGTCTCGATTTGAAACTTTCTGCCTATCACGATTAAGTTCCCCTTTTTAGGAGAAACAAAAGGCTGATTCCTAAACAATATATACGTAGCTTGTTCCGATGCGTCAAAGACTTGATATCCAAGTCATAGTTTCGTTCTGTCATGGACGCCCAAAATAATGCTGATTTTAATCAGAAGAAATCGATGCATACACGTAGAAGGAAACCCTAAACATTAAACAAAGTGGGTTGATTCAATCCGGGATAGCCCCAAACATGTTTATTTTCCTGGGGACTCCACAAACTAAACAAGTTCATTACAAACTAACAAAAAACAACAGCACAAATTTACATTTAATTGCCATTTAAGTTACCAATTACTGCATTAAAATTACCATAAGTATTAAAAAAGATCCTGAAAGTCCAGAAATTTGATTCATATAAATTTAGTAATGCCGTCAATTCCAGTCCATTTAAATATAGGTACTATCAAGTTAAGGTGCTTTATATCCTTATAAACAATTAGCTTTTATATGAAACTGCCTCCCTTCTGCAGATAAAAGTGTCTGTGATATAATGTCATAAACTAGCCTAAGTTAAACTCGCTCCATTTCTCTAAAAAGAAAATTTTGTGCAAGGAAAAAGCTCTTTTCATAATCAAATAAAAATTCTGTAACTTTTTCAGGCGAACTGTAAGACTCTGAGCCCGCGCCCGATCAGAGTAGAGAACTGATGCGCTTTTCAATATGGCTAAAATGTTTGATAGATTCATAAGGGTAATTTCCAATCAGTTCTATTGACATTCCCATATACTTAATCTGCGGGGAAAAGGTGATTAATTAGGAGAATATCTCTGCCTTTGCTATTAAAATGCAGGAGTGAGAACGCACTTCATGAGTCACTTTGCATCTTCGACACAATGGCGCGCAAAAATGTCGAGTCACCCCCCCCGGAAACCATCCCACATTCTGACACACAAATCTACGCCACTCCCCGGGTGGATCATTATTTCGCCTGGGTGAAATAACTAATCCGCGCGGGCGAAATACTAATCCGCCTGGGCGAGATAGCAGGCCCAATTCTTTTTTTCAGGAATGTCCTATATGCGCTTCCGTAAAAATCTTGAATTTCCAGTGAAAAAAAAAAAACAACGGAGGCCAACCTCTTCCCGAGACTCGAGTCAACATTCGGCGCATTTCGGTCCGATTTTGCACTGTTTTCTATGGGTGCGTACTTGGAGTAGTGCAAGATGTACGTCTGTAATGTGTGTCAAATTCGTGCAGAATCGTACATCAGAATGGTATATTTATGGCTTTTTGAAATTGCTTTCCCGTTTCAGTGATATTGCAAATATTTTGTTCTTTGGGAAATCCTGAAAATTCTTCAAAATCCGCTTTAATTTAGAGCGATATTTAATTAAAGTTTTTGCCGTTACAGCAACATATGGTATACAAAACATCTATGTTGACCCGAGAACTCGCGAAAGCTTTCGTATAAGCTTTGGGTGGGCCTTAAAACCATGCCTGCAACCACTCACCAAGCAAGTCGCAGGCGAGTCGGCACTGCAATCATTCAATCTCGTGGGCTTTCGGATAAGTGGCTGAGAACCGATCGATCGCTATGGTGCAACCCAAATTGGGCTAGTGACTGGAGTGGAAGTTCTGGGTGGGCGATGCCTACATTTTTCTTGGGGGGGGTAAGGTTGGACATTGAAAACAAACTTCAAGATTTAAACATCAAAATTTGAAATGGGGGGGGGAGACATCTGCCGTTGGGGGGACATGCCCTTCGGGTAGACTTCTCAGTTTCTCTTTACAAAAAGAAGCCTCTATGAAATTTTGAGTTGAAAGGAAATCATATATTAAAATTTAAGGGTATTTTTTTTCTTGCTAAGTTACCTCCTCAAGAAACTGAGGTTAATTTTTAAACATGTATTTAACTGAGGCCACATCAATCATTCAGGAAATTTGTAGGCCTAGTCTCGGCTGGTCAGGACATCAACAGGGTCTACCAGCTTTCACAGGTTGGGCACTGCTGGCAGAAAGTCATCACAAGGGTCAAGTCGAGGATCAGACCATCAAGTGAAGAACCTGAATACTGGAAATGCCGTTGTTGCCTCTGTCATATCAACCCCTGTTTGTTTCCTAGCACTCTACTGTCCTTGTGGTGGTTCACCATCATTTATAATCTCCTCTGACACAATTCCCTCGATTTTGGACTCGTCTCCGAGGTTCAGTTGAAGATGTAACACACAATAGGGCACTCTAATTAAACACCTTACTGAGTCCTCTGAAGAAATCTCCACAAATCTAACATGTCTCCTGCAAATTTCTCTACAAAATTGGGCACAACTTGTCCGTTGTACTTTGGGAATTTGGTAACCTGGATTTATAGCAAAAAGATGGAAAAATATTGAAAAGCCCGCTTGAGATTTCACAACTGCAAGAATTTTCTGGATGTAACAACCTTATCAAAGGCTCATTCCAACCGACCAACAATCTAAGGTAAAATATGACATAAAAAGGCTTCATTGAAAAGTTTATTCAAAAATTACCTACACTTTGTTCAGCACACAAGGCAATAAGACAATCCCCGGTTTCCCAACACTGGGTTTTGGATCAAAACAATCTTTTAATTTCCAGCCCTCTTTCACAAAATGACAGTCACCATAAAAATTATTCCAATGCAAGAAATACTTAGTAAACTCTTAACGATGCATGCGACCACTGTTTTTACCTCCATTTAGTTTGTCAGATTTATTTCACACTGTTACTGCAGATTCCCCTAACAATTCATGATTGTCATTTGGTGAAATCTTGTTCACAGGAAGTGGTTAGGGCTCCAATTTAGAAATACTCGTATTGAAGTTAATCGGACACAGGATCTTCAGCTTCCGCAACAGAAGATGAGAAGATCTTGATGGAACATTTCAAGGGGCTGCAAACAAAGGGCAAACACATATATACGTCTTCAGCATGGAAAGTTCTTGCTGAACACTTACGCGTACCCTAAACCTGTCAGACCAGCAAGGAGCAGCAGGTATGAAAGTCTGGTGCACTTTTCTACTGCACTGGACAATTAACCGTAGCCAACTAACCTGCCTATGTTGAAGTAATGGAAACTGATTCTACTGCAAGGGTGGACGGGGGGGGGGAGGGGTCATGCCCCCCACAGAGCCATATTTTTAAATAACGAGGCATTTTTGATCTACTTGGCTTCTCTTCCTTCCAAAAGCATGTAAGAAGCCCCCAAATATAGCTCCATTCCCAAGAAAGGCCATGGAAGGTTACATAAAAAAATTCCCTATTTTAGCCCTTCAAAACAAGGCCCCCCCCCATACTGTTCTGAATCTGCCCTAGTCCCATTAGGCAGAGCCACTGTTGGTTCTCGTGGTAGACGGCAACTACAGTCTCCGGCAGCTCTTTTGCCTTGGGGCTTGTGGACCTGTTGGATCTCTGATGAAGAATCAGATAAATCTGGTAGGGTTTCCAGCCAACATAGGGTGAATCACTCTACAGTCCAATACTCTAAGCTCTCCTGGACTCACCAGTTAGTAATATAATGTGAAACCATGTAGTGCAGGTTCTAATGGGTTATAATGAACATCAGTGTACGAGACAAAATGACAACTATGTATAATGGCTTTTGGTTGATACGGTATCTTGGTGTTTGATTTTATAAATTTGCTACGTAATATTTTCTGCTGAGAAAATTGTTTGCAGGAATTAGATCAGTCATCTTTGTACTAAGTGGTCACAATTCTTGGTTTCTGAAACATCAGAGTGATGGCCAATTGTCAGGCATGTTTCAGTCAGAATTGGACCTGTGGTGTCAGTTTCTCAGTCAGTGTCAGGAGTGAAATAGAGGCACCACACGCTTAATGCGCTGCCTGCATATAGGACAGTGCGGTGGCTGTAGCATCCGGGTGCATCGTGCGCACGTGGAGATGTGGCCACAGTCCAGCAGCACCACGTCCCTGGGGTTGGTCAGGCATATCGTGCAGGCGTTGTCCTGGCCACCGGCCGCTCGGTCAATGTTCGTTCCCTCTGCGCCGTCGTCCACCCGATTCTGCAAGACCCTCTCCACCTGCATCTCGTGTTCCCTCCTCTCAGCGTACTTGCGGTACTGCTTGAAGAGCCACAGTGCCACGAGGAGGGCTGTGATGGACCCACTGATGTACAGAAAGTACTTAAGCTGGTTCAACTTGGACTGGAAATCTCGGATGATCCCTGAGAAACCGGAGTCGCTCAGGATGTAGGGCCTGTTGGCACTCGTAGGGGGACTGAGGACCAGGCTACCAGTGGACGTTGACAGCATACCTATGCCGGTCAGCACCGTCCCCTCGGACAACATTCTCTCCACGGTCTGAAAACCTTTGGTTTTCTCACCACTGGCCCAGCTGACGAGGTGTTCGCCGAGGGATGTGGACGATGGCTCAAAGGAGTCGTAGATGATGGGCACATCCAGCCCACTGGCTGACAGAGGGTCGTCGACCCGGACGGCGGTGTTATTGTCTTTGATCACAAATGGAACAGAGCGGCTGATGTTCCTGATCAATCGTGTGGTGTCATGCCTGCAAGACGGCAAATGCAAAATGGGTTACATGTGAACAAATCTACATGCTGGATTTTGTCAATATTGGAATCGACAAACAAGTTATCCTAAGTCACTGGCCATTTGACACTGCCCTAGAAACACAACACAAACAGGACCTCAAAACCCACGCTCTCTCGTAAAATAAAAAAACTTGCAAATAAAAGGCCCTTCGATACTGAATCTGTCAAAATAATTAAAAATTGGGCCTGATTTCACAGAGGAGCCAAGAGCAAGTCCTGGCGCAGAATAGAATTTGAGGCTTGACTATTACTTGAATACCTTTTAACAATGCAAATGTGCCACAGTCACTCTCAGATGACCTAGTTAGACTTTATCATGGTCATATCACCGTCAAATATAATTTGTCCTTGGCTGTAACTGTTGCGGCCTTCTTCTTGTACAACTGTTTTCAAGTAAATGGTTCCCTTCCTTACTGAAAAGTGAGTTAGCTTTGATAACCACTGGTGTGACCATGCCCCAGGACCTGATTCAAATGGTCAATTACATGGTCCAAATCGTGGGTGGGACTCGAACCCACGACCATCTGCACCAGTAAACAGGAGGTTGTGGGTTCAGGTCCGACCCGAGTATGCTTGTGGTTTTCTTCACAAGCCTTCGGGGGCATACACTGAGCATACAGTGTTAAAATACACGTCGGGCACGGCAAAAATCCAAAATTAATTGCCCAATGCTGAAAACTCTCCTCAGCAAATTTATGTGTCGTGGGAAAGCCAGCTGGGAACCAGTCCAAAGAATTAAATATTTGGCCTATGGGAAAGATTCTGCCAGGATTGAAATGTCAGGCCTTCCTTCTTTTGTGAAATACCCAATACACAGCACTTTGGCTGGTATCCTACTTCTGCTAAGCATACATCTTCTACGCTTAGGAAACTTCTGCGCTTGAGCTTCGTCCAAATTACCCGGCTATGGCTTGAAACGACACACAAACCAAGGGAAGCAGCTGGAGCCACTTATAACAGACCAGTGTGTGATTTTAAGCACCAGTCAAAGAATCCATACCCAGCCTTGGCAGCTCCTTGGAAATAGGCCCTTGGTTAAGAGCCACAGACTCCCCATTAAAATTGGGCATCACGTCGCGCTGAATGGGCCAAACCAACCCAAAATGGTACAGATACAAACCAAATCCGACCCAAAACCAATCTGAACTTCCCAAATACGGAATATCAGGCAACTCCTACAATCATCCCTTTTCTGTGCTTGAACTCATTCATGTGCGTGAATTCTTTAGCAAAACCGTTGTAAGAACTCAAAACTGCTGCAATGAACCTCCCCGACAGTCCCAGTTGGAGTTTAGAAAGCAATACCATAGGAAAAAACAACCATGCATCTTGGTCATACTGGTCACTGTATGATGTCCAATGTAGAGGCGTAGGTAGGATTTTACTAGTGGAGGGGGCACAAAGATGGCACCAGCATCTTATGGGGGGGGGCACCAGCTTTCAGTGGTGTGGTTTTTGGGGGCAAGTTTTTGTTGGCCTTGTTCAATATCCACTCATCCATTTATTTTTTTTGGGGGGGGCGGGGATACCTGGGGGCACTGGGAATTTGTGGGGGCACAAGAATCGCTGAACCAAAAGAGAAACTGACCCGGTTTTAGGTCAATTATGAGTCCGGTGAGTGAAATAATTACCCCAATTGGAAACTCACCACAAGCGAGTGCTGCCGCTCCAGTAAGTCTTATGTTCCCTGCAGATCAGAGACTGTAGAACACCCAGGATCCCTGTGGCATGCTCGCTCTTCAGCGGCTTGCCGATGGCCTCCACGCTCCCCTCAATGACTGCATATGGGATGGTGCTGTCCGGTGCCTCGCTGACAAGGGCTTTCAAATTAGGGTCGAGGTTCAAATGAGGGGCATCCTGTAGTGGAAATATTAAAGACAGACCCAACAAACTGAGCACCTGTGGATGTGTACTACTCAAGTGTTGTCGTCAAGTCTTCAAAAGTCTATCAAAAGTCTGAAGCCATGAGCTATCCATAAAAACTGTGACAAAGGCATTCTTGTCAATTCCCATTCTGTGATTTTTGATATGACTAATGATCAACTTGCCATTTGACTTATCAACGTGTGAACTCAACTTCGAGGTTCCTATAGTATTTCCAAATGAAGTTACCTCCATACATTTCCCCCAAAGTAACCCCTTGCCCAGTTAAAACTGACAGGCTTCACCTTGATTTGTTGGAGGAATTGAGCCTCCTTCCTCCAGTAGTAAGCAATGATGCCAGTGAGGGCTGCCGTCCCCGCCATTACCACCACCTCTAGTTTCTCCATGTTGGGGGAGAGCGCTCAGCAATGGAGGCTGGCTGAGAGAACGTGGCAGGTAGCCCTGACGATGCAGGTTGATGTACTTCCAGAGGACTTTGATTCTAGTACCTGACTGGGTTGTGCTCTTCACCTGCAATGGAAACAAGGGGGAACTTTAAACGCTATATGAGAAACTTCATTTCAAAGGTTTTTCTCTACCCTGCAGACATGGCAGTGGTACCACGCTGGGAGATTAGGAGATAGAGCACAAGTGGCCGAGTTTGGGGGCTTTTTCTTGTTCAAATTCACGGATGTGTTGTGTGCAATTGGTCAATCTTGCGATATGACGTGTTGATCTACATACCATCCGCAGATCACTTCTTCTTTCCAATTCAAGGTCGTGGAAGACTGTTTGGAAGTGAAGCCAGGCATTTCACACAGGATTGGCACATGCACAATTTAACAACCCCCCCCCAAAAAAATGGTCAGAGCCCCTGCTGTTTGTTTACATGTATGTGGACTAGGACTCATTTTCAATTTTGGTATACTCAGTTCACAAGTTTGACAGACTAGACCAAGTTACCCAGAAAGTACCTCTTTTTTGAGTTTAGCCAAAATATATTTTGTGGATCAATTCTAGTAAGAAATGCATTGAACATATTTAAAGTTAATGACAACGGATCCCGGCCAATGCATAAATTGACATTTGAATACATTACTACATTTTCAGCCCAACATTTCAGACCATACAGGGTGTCCCAGAAAAAACTAAACCCCGAGGAGGAGGGGTCAATATGCCCAAACTCAGTTGTAACACTTTGGATAAACCAGTGAATGAGGTTTTCTTCTAAAAGTTTTCTAAGCAGATGCTTTGGGCTTCTCCAAGCTAAATTTCACTTTTTAGGACGTTACACTTTCTGAGGGCTGTTATAACATTTAAAAGGGAAAAGAAGTGTTGTCCATATATGGAACTCATTCCGGTCAAGGATACAGCAAGGTGAGTCTCCAGGCCACACTTATCAGCTCGTAGATCGTGTCGGTCAGTCATGTCAGTCATTAGCCCAATAGACGTTGTCTACATTGCATTGCTACTAATGTCCAGGGTATAAAGTCTTCCTGCCAAATTGAACTTTTTTCTACCTTTTTTTCACCTTTTTACCAGGCAGAGGCAGCTCAAATGTTGTTCAAAAGTACAATGTACCTTGTACCAAATTCCATAAATGCTGTTTTGAAATTGCTATACATGTATATGCCCGCAGAAGGCATATTTTGAGGGAAATTTAGAGTAACCCCATGCTTTCCGTTGTGATTCGTATACAATCTACGTTCCTCTAGTGCCGGCAGTACGCATTTGTGCATGCGCTAAATGGTCTTCACTGCACTATAGCTCTGCCACATTCTGTCAGTTATGTATAAACCTTACATTACAGTTCTGGAAGTAGTCCGACATTATCCTACAAGCATGACAAATGTCCAAGTAACTACGATGGATGACCTCTTTAATGTTTGGATATCAGCAGCATCTACAGTCCAAATTTCAAAAGAAGTGATTTGCAAAGTCCTAGTTACTCAGACTGGGTAGGCTTTTATTACTTTTGTAGGCCTAATTAATTTAATTTGACCAAGAAATCGGCACCAAACATGATCCACTTTTTGCTCCGTTTTTCTTCCCACAATGCCTTTCTACCACTGTGGAAAATCCCCCATGCAGTATTTGCAATAAGCCTGTAGGCATGGTAGGGCCTTTATTAGCCCTGGTTGGACGTTGTCTACATTGCATTGCAACTAACGTCCAGGGTATAAAAGTCCTCCTACAATGCAAAATTCTTTTCAATGGTTTTTCTCACAGGTACACGTATTTGCACATGTGCGAAATGCATAGTAACTGACAGCTCCTTACGCATGCGTGGAAGAGCTGTGGTCATGAGAAGTCGAAGATAAGGCCATGTCCGAAATTGGCTTCCAAAGCAACGGCTGGGTCTGTTGTCTGCACATCTCCACGCATTTCCAATGGAGCGAAGACCTAGACCTGGCTCTAGACAACATAACTGACACTAGAATGTGGGCCGAGCTTGGAGGTCATTTCATGCATGTGCAAATTCGTACTGTAAAGACGAACGTACGTGTAGATCGTTCACGAATCGTGACGGACCTGACGGAAAGCGTAGAGTTTGCAAAATGTGAGGTGTCTTCGCCTGGTAAAAATGAGAGAAAAACTGTTGAAAAAATTTCGCATTGTCGGAGGACTTTTATACCCTGGACGTCAGTCTAGTTTAAATGAAGACAACGTCCAACCTGGGCTGGCAGGTCCTAGTCATTCCGGTAGAAAGTCATTTGTACTTGAAACACATGAAGGGAAGGTCACGAACGAAAACATTTGCAACCAATGCACATACATGAAGTAACAATAGTTCACTTCTGCTTTCGGTATGCCAATTGATCGACTTCTGGACCTTCCGTAACAATTCTCACCAGTTACATCATCACGTAAAGTTCCGTCCCAACTTCTGGCACGAACATTCATGCAATTAAAACTTGTGTGTAGTGTTGGTACAATTGCCCTTAGTCAGATTCACTTTACCGTAAATCATTTAAACTCAGTGTAAAACGTCTGGCGACAGGACTTACATTTGCGAGGAAAACAATAGATGGCGCTGTTTAAAATTTATGGTCATGCACGGTACGTGCCGTTCATGTCTGTGTTGCCGTTCGCGTAATTTTTTTCTTAGGAAGGTTGGTGGTAATTATCTTACATGGGCGTGGTTAACTGGAAGCTAGATCAATGTAGTTGCACTTAGAAACTTAAGTGTTCAGGTAAATGTTGGGCTGTACTTTCGTTTTATTAAAACATCCTCGAATTCCCCACCAAGAAAAAAAAATTAGTCTGCTGCATAGACTCGAACCGTCATTTGTTGGTTCTAAGTAGGCCTAGGCCTACAACGCTCTTCTAATGCTAAACAGAGCTAGCATGCAAGTCAGCCAGAAAAGCAATTTTGTTGTGTCTTATACATGTACTTAAAGGTTTGTGTACCCCATTTATGATAATTACCCTTCTGAGGAAAAAGAAATTATGCGCACAGACGGGGGAACCAGTCTTTGAAGGCCATGTCGAACTCAATGGGCTGCCAGAGCTACGGCTAGGTCTATTGTCTGCACATCTCAACGCATTTCCAATGGAGTGAAGACCTAGACCTAGCTCTAGACGAGAGATTCGGATGCAGCCTTACCACCCCTAGACACCAAAATAGGCGTGCCATGCGTCCTCCAGATTTCGCACCTTATGATTGTCCAACACATTGCAAACTCTTGGAGGAGCGCTATTGTGAAGTGCCTGTATTGTTTTCACATGTACTCATGTGCGACAAATTTAGAGAACATAATTGTCTCAGTGGGTCGAAAAGGGGTGGTTTTAGATGGTTGAAATTTTGGATGGTTTGGTTACGGTTGCTTAGTCAAACCTTTTTGTAAAAACTATTAATAATTACTCAGAACAATATCTGTGAGATGTAAAATGTTATCATAAATCGATATTTATTTATACTTGTTAAATATTAATGCACATGTCATTCAAACATCCACCAAGCGTCCAGCTAATACTCGGACAAAAAGCATTAAGCAAGGTTAAATAAATTCATCAATAAAAAAATAGCGATCTACGTGCCAGTTGTTCCATTATTGATGAGTTTCACATCTTTTGGTATACATCTGAGCACAAAATTCATAAATGTACTGTGGTGCAGTAAGCCCTTCGTACTTGCGATATTTTACCAAAGTATTCTTCAGTACACAATTGGCTACAATCAAGATACCTATGTTCCTAACATTTCAAGACAAACCGTAGGAACTATAAAAAACTCCCCTCTGAAATACACAAGCCATCGAAATGCAAAATGTCCATTTACAAGTCAGCAACATCTACGAGGCCACATTTTACAAATAACAAAATATTATTTATGACACAACCTTGAATTTGGGTCCGTGGGACCTTTTGTTTTCAACTCTGACAATGGAACACTTGCAACCTCATCCTTTTCCAACCCACTCCAACACGTCTTGTGAAGAAAACCTTTGGAGCAAAGTTTCAAAGTTTTTGGGCTGGCCTTTACACCTGGTTGTTGACTGGCTGTTGAGTCTACATCAGCTGAACCACTGTGAAGAAAAAAGAAGGACAGATCTTACTACCCCCGATGGCCAGGCCAATAATAATTTATAGTGACCTTTCTATTCGGTTTGAACAGTCTAGTGATAGGTAACTGACCCTTTGAGACGGGCTTAACATTTCATTTTTCCTCACAGGGTGACTTTTTTCATTTCGGGGACGACATCACAGCAAAATATCTTGCTCATGAACACAAACACCCTACTGGGTCTTTCTTACCAAGTATCAACTTAGATTAAAAACTACCTGCCACTAAGACCAAGTCCTAAACCAACTGGACCAAGATGGGCAACCTGACGCAGTGAAAAGCCCAGGTCTTAGAGTAAAGAGGAGGTAGAGTGAACTCCGCCCCTAAGTAGATATGCCACAGATTGACCGTCCTGATTAAGGCAATGGGTAATGACTCGCCTCATTGTCAGCCCAGGATACTTCCGTATCACTGGCATCAAAGTCCACATCTTCTCCACTCTCTTCAAGTGCTTCCATATCGTCATCTTGGCCACGGTCGATACTGTCCGTTACTTTCTCAACCTTCTGAATGCCATCCAGGACTTTCTTGTTTGTTGGATCCATCCTAAAACACACCCCAGACACCTGACCTGAAGATTAACTGATAACAACCCTGCGAAGTGTGTAACACTTCCTAGCTAAAGCTTTTGAAATTTTAAAACAATTTCTAGCAGGCAGGGCCTTAATTAAATTGACGCCACTGTGGGATTCAAATTAGTAAGACCAAAAAAGCTCGAAGTCCTTAACCCTAACAGTCCTAAACCCTCCAGCTAGTGAAGGATTGAGGTTTGGTTAGGGTTAAGGGAGTCCAACATCCATGAATTTTCAAAGTAACTTGAAACTCGGCATGGAAAGTGTAGCTGTGAGTGCAATGATGAAGGAAGGTCCAGGAAGCTTCTCACCCCAGGGCAATGCTGTACTGGTCCAATGCCTCTTGTAGCTCATTATTTGCTGATAGGAACTCCCCCAGCATTTGATGTAGCTTGCACGTGCTCTGATGGTGCAGCTGACGACGTAATCTAAATTTTAAAAAAAGAAAAAGAAAGAAAAAGATTGTTTTTAAGACAACACTTTTTTCGCGCAGAAAGGACTTTGTACATGACAGCCAACAACAAATTGTTGCATGGATTCTGCCACTCTTTTCTGCCGACACCTCTCTTCCTATTTAGGTCATATATATTTGGCTACCACTGGCTGGACGTCAGTACAAAACAGGAATAAATCACAAAACGCTGAAAAAATCTGATGCCGCTATCCAAACATACAACGGGCATGTGAATGGGCATGAAGAAAAAAAAAACCTGAAAATAATTTGTGATGAAATTTATCACGGGAAGACTACTGGGAGCGTGGAGCGTGAAGCCCTTACGGCGTGGGGTCTGGGGCCTGCTTAAGGCCATGGGAAAATTTTGGATTCTAGATGCTCTGTGGTGCAATCTGAGGTGAGTCATGGCCCCTTTGCCTCCAATTCATTCAAGCAAAATCTTCTCAATAGTAAAGATATTTCTCATTTTTTAAATTACTCTTAATTTTTTGATTAATTGGACTCGTAAAACCTGAAATGGCTGTTTGAATGTGAGGATGTTGATTTGACATCCTCTTCTTTCTTTTTGCAGCTAGGCATTCCAGTGCTTTCTGCCAAGCCCTCTTCCTATCACGGAAGTGTTTGCGGTGTTTATCGTACTTAGCTGCATGCTGTATCAATGCTTTATCTCCGGGAGTACCGTACCTGATACAAATATAATACCACTTGCATCATGCTTCTCCAGGATTGTAAAGCTTGTAAAGGCAGTCGCCCATTACGTGCTCATCTTCCGTTTTAGCCAGTAACAATTTGACCAATTCCACTTGTTTTTTTACTGATTTGTCAATCTCTTTTGAATCGGCAGCTCCACGCTCCACGAACTTCTTTCCTTCCGCCATGATTTCCATTTTTCCCTGACTGCATGTGAACGTGTATACGTACGTACAGACGTACTTGTACCAATTTCCAAAAGCCAGTTTGCACATGGCCATGCAGCAGCGCTGCCATGAATTTACGTCTCTCTGAAACAAGGACCCATTGGGAGAAATGCGCATGCGTACGTATGATAATTACGAGAATGACCGGTCATGTGAGAGAGGGAATTAACCAATAACAGGTAAGAGTCTGACTTTTACGGGGGTCGGATTTTCATGTGACACCGGGCATTCACACGATACCGAAGTGGCTTTAAGGTGAAGTGCGAGCGACTGCACTTGTCACTGGTTCCTCCTTTGGCTATGTAAAGAGAATAAAGGTTTGTGGGAATCTGCGAAATTCATTCCTCGTTTCCTACGTAGATTGTACATTTCGAAGGGCATTGCTTATACTGTCCCGAAGCAACATGTAAATCGAATTGTTTCAATGTACAAATTTCACTGGGAATTAGGGAAATTTTAAGAGCTGCGTTAGTCAACCAACATGAAATTTTAGGGGTAAGTTGTAAGGGGGTAACCCTTACAACTTACCCCTAAAATTTCATTCAATTTTTACACAAATTTGAAGGGAAAAACCAGAATTCCGGTTAAACCGGAAAGATTCCCACGCCTGATGTAAGGAATACAACCACTAAACCCTGCATGAAAACAGGTGCTTACATTTAATGTAATGGGAAAAATTAATGCACCTTTTGGGGGTAAAACCCGACACCAATCAAGGGGGATATTTCTGGAAACTATGGCCACAAACAAAGATACTTGGCAATGTGAGAGAGTTCTATAGTCAAATGCAGTACAGGCGGCAAACCAGCCTTCAGTAATGGTAGATGTAGGTGATATCGGTTGTGAAAATTGCACTGCGCAGAAATCTTAAGCAATAAGGAACAGTCACACATCCAACTGTCTCACATTTCACAAGTAACAGCTTTAAAAAAAAATCTTGCTTTTTGGGGGGGTTGAGGGATGGAAGGGATAAAGCTCTGGTTTAGGAATGGTCATGCAAAAATGAATGTCTAAAGTTTAATCACTAATTTCAAAATAATACAAACTCAGCGTTTAGTCAAGACTATCACAAGACCATAAGACCTGTCACAGCTAACAGGGTGAACAGTGACAAAGGAATACTGTCATTGTAGTCTATCTGAAATGCTTGCGATTTGAACTCAAGACTGGAGGTCTTGTGTTGAGTTTGTGAGGTCTTGTAATGGTCATGACAGGTGTCGACTGCAACGCTGCTCAGTGTTGGTTTCTACCCATTCTGGAGGTTAGCATTTGTCCGATACTCACAGCTCTATAGCCGCTGTGTACTGTTGCTCTTCCCCAAGAACCTCTGCCAGGAGGTAGACAGCATCCAGGTAGGTAGGCTCCTGAGCTAGAGCTTTCTCTAACATTGTCTTGGCCTGCACACATAAACACCATCCAGAAATTTCTTCTTTCTCGATCATTCCATGTAAACCTCAAGCATTTTCGCTTTTCATCAGGATAGAATTTCCAACCAACCTAACAGAAAGACAAACGGACAAAACTTGCCCTGGACCGAGCTAGAAACTACCGTCTTGAAACAATATCTGACTATAGTGTGATCCGCTCACACTGAATGGCACAAATAGTGGTATATTGTTTCAACAAAATGACAGATTTCCTCTGCTATTGACGACTGAAAAACTGTTGGCAATTCCCAGCAGCCCGGCTTTTTGTTCCGAGTAGTCTTTTGTTGCAAGGCCCAGCCCCTTTGTCCGATTTCGGGCACCCCGGCTATGCGTAAAAACCTAAGGTCTCCGGTACCAGGTACCCCGGCGCAAAGTGGTTATGGCTGGTTCATACTTCAGGTGAATGTGAAAGCGACGCCAATTCCACATCACCAGATGTTTGCAGTGAAAATCGTTGCAGTTGGAAAGTGTTCACCATTTGTGAATTCGCAGAGTGGGCATTTGATCCGATGTTGCAAAACAGAATTTGGGCTCGCTGTTGCACAAATATGGACTTGCACTCAGTTGTTTACCTTCTCCACTGTGAGGCTGTCTTTGGCCAGGACAGAAGCAAACAGCGTCAGGGACCGTGCACTGTTACCCAGCACCTTACAAGCATTGGAGGCTGTGGTGAGGGCTTCTCTGATCTTCCTGGCCTTGATGTAGCATTCTACAAGACCTGGGAGGAAAGACTGAAGTAATGTCAGTTTTAGGCCTTTTAAAACCTATACAACATAACGATCGAAATATGTATGCAGCGTTCGCAAGATGACAAGACATGGGAAGGAAACCAGCTGTGAAAGTCTCTTTTCATCAGTGCTCAACTGCAACAATGTTCACTTATTTCAACAATGAATTCAGAGTTTACTGTGGTAATCACCATAATTTTCTTAAAAAAACAGGAAGAATTTTGAAATTGCCTGTCTAAAATAAGTACAGGACGTATATTTTTTAAGATGTCTGTTTGTTATGTCAGCACAAGGAACTAAGTCCTGGCCAGCTATGAAATCTGTTAGGACTCCCTAACCTACAGAATCTTTTAAACTGGTTGCAATGATTTCAAAGGATAGGTTGGAAATAACATTAAGGTTAATAAAAATTAAGAACAGGCTATTCAACAGAAATAAGAAGACCGAGACTTGAGAAATTCAAAGATTGTGACTGCCATCTTTGAAATTACAAAGAATCCTATGATGCCATTTTTAATGCAATTTTCCCTCAGTATTATAGTTAGTCCGAAAGAACTATTTCACAGGCTGCTCCATATCACGCTTAATTAACCCCTTCGTACTGGGAGCCGTCCACAGCCACGGCTTTGTGTGACAATTAGTGCATACCACACATACATTCTATCCATCATGCACCTGTGGTTTCAATGTGGGCCTGCTGCTGGACAGAGCTTTGCATGCTGGGCATACCACAGCCCAGCAGTCACGGTCAAAAGTATCCCGGCGTGAAGGGGCACGGTCAAAAGAATCCCGGCGTGAAGGGGCACGGTCAAAAGAATCCCGGCGTGAAGGGGTTAACTTTGTAACTTACTTACTGATATCAATTGGATTTCAAAGACTCAAAAGTGTAATTCTGGAAAATCCTCGAGCATTATGGATGCTATAGGACATCAACTTACATAAAAAGGAACATTTCACTGTAAAATGATCAGAGAATACGGGAACAGTGATGGCTTACCTTGGTGAGCTTCATATCTATAGGGAGCCATCCGTACTGCTTCTCGGAAGTGTAACAGGGCTTCTTGCGTCTTGCTCATGTCCTTCAAGACACAACCCTTCAGAAGAAGAGCTTGCACATTCCGTGGATCAATCTGATAGGCCTGTCCGTAGTAAGAGATAAAATGAGGAAAATGACACAAGTTCACGATGTTTAGCCAGGAGTCAGACATGGTTGTCAAATCAGCGTTAATGTCGAAACTGGGGCTGGGAATATTCAACAGATTATCGAATATCTGAATATTATTTTCCAAATTTGAATATTCGAATGCAAAATTCACGAAAACAGAGAATTTTCCTTTGTTTTAATTGAGAAAAATTGCACTGTGGAGGCTGTTTCAAGCAGATGCAAATGAAAAGAGACAGAAATTTTACAACAATTCGAAAAGTAACTTATTCATTAAAAAATTTAAATGGAATAGAAATTTTTGACAGGGCAAGACGTATTGTTTGTCTTTTAAATCTTGCTACATTGTAGCTGGAGATGCTCCTAGATGTGAGAAGCTATCATAGTGATCATAATGTACAATTGTGTGCATTATTGCAACTGATTTTGTTTATGGTTTGTTCATCAGCAATCTGTCAGTCGGTACGTCCATCGAATTGAAGGTCGAATATTCGAATGGTGAATTATTTGAATTGACTCAGCCCTAGTCGAGACCCCTTCACACAAGACACCACAAGACCATCACAAAACCAACACAAAAGCCCTCCAGTCTGAATTTAAGGCAAAAGCATCAAATGAACTGTTACCTTATACCGTTACTTGTGACTCGCCTCGTGAGTGATCTTGCATTGGGTCTCGTGAATGATATTGATTACAACACTAGTCCTAGATAACTTCATTGCAAAGCAGGGAACCCAAGTTGTTTTGGAGTAAATTCAAAATAGAACCAGCAAGGGGTATACACGATCTTCTGAGTGATCTTCAAGTGCCATTTCTTAGGGATGCGGCATCGTACATGTTGGCAGCATTAAAGCTGCACATCATCCTCAGCAATGCAGCACGTCAGGGTTTTATGCCTTCTGATAAACACCCTTTGAACAACGTCAATGAGCAACTTCTGAGATTATCAGCACTTAGCCCGACAGTGGAGCACAGCTAGGGTATTACAGATATCTCAGCTCATTACCACAATGGAATCTAATTTTTGAAACTTTAACCACTTCATGCCCGGGCATTTTTCAATGTCGATGATGCTGAGCCGGCATGAATGTAATTTTTTCCCTTTTTCAAAATTCTTCAAAACTTCATCATTTCATTTAACGGTCATTCATAGCCGCACCAAGTAATCTTTAGGCACTACTCTAAGTTGACAGGTGACCTTCATTGACGCCCAAGTATTTCAGCCAGGCCTGCGCTCTCAATACCCCAAACCCTGGTATATGGTTTCAAAACAAGGCTGGATTATCACCACTTTCGAGAGTGAAAAATGTTGGTAATGCCCAGCAGCCTGGTCTTTTGTTCAGAGTACGGTCTTTTGTTACAGGGTCCTGTTTCCTTTGTCCGAGTTCGGAGACCCCGGCCACGCATATAAACCATACGTCTCCGATTCTGGAGTCCCCGGCAGGAAGTGGTTAACCACAAATACAAATTTCTTCTTTTGGTTTAAATGATTAAACCGATCCCACAAATGTAAGAATAATATCGCCCCCCCCTAAAAAATCCTCAGCCCCCTATAAATCCTCTTCCAAAGTCTCTTCTCGCCCTCAATATCGTCTCAAGTCTGTGGACTTTTTTACCTGTTCGGCAGCGAGGTCCATAGTATCCAACAGCACACTTGCAGGAATAACCATTTCCAGCCACTGAGCACACCCCGTCATTAAAGCATGGGTCGGGAGTACACGGATCTAGAAGAAAAACAAATACACGAAACTTGTAATGTCTGGGAAAACTCCCATAGTTAAAGACGGTTGTCAAACCCTAATCTCTTAGGTTGTATGATAAATTTATGCATGTATTGGAAAAAGAAAGGATTTGAGACTGGGTTTTAAATGCAAGGTGTAATGAAGTTTTCTTAGAATCATCTTTTGTGCATGTGTATCTTCTTCAATGTATAAAAACTGTTTGAAATCTGTTTGGAGTTCATGTAGTGAACTGCAAGTGCACCTGTTTAACATTCAAAATTGAGCAAGCTTTTCCTAAAACATAAATATGGGTAACATTAGTTATGCTTCAAACCTAAATGAAAATCAAATGTAATGTGTCCAAGTCTAGAGTGCCATCAGAATTCACCTTTTTTTCCTGCCGTGAACAAACTTTTGAGCAAATTAGATTTAAAGCAAGGGGTAGCTCCACGGGTAAAGTAACACTTCCATTTTCCAGATATCACAGCTGTTAATCTCTCCAGGATTTAATAATTTTGGTCCTGAATTTTTTTCTGAACAAACGAGTCAACTGAGGAGGTGAACAACTCCAAGTTGGCCGCCGTGTGTGGCCGCCGTGTGTGGGCAGATCCTTGGGTAGGGCCCCACTGTTGTTTTCCCTGAGGTAGCAGGTTTGAAGCCCTCTGGCAGTTTTTTCTTTGTGCAGTGGGAACCAAATGAACTTTAAAGAAATGTTAAACTGAGGGGTACCTTCTCCGCCCCCGATCTCCATCAGCGTGACGTCAAACCCTCCCAACGTCACTTTCTCGTCGGTCACAAACTGCAGAGTCATGACATTACCCTCTGCCTCCACGTCTTCTGGGACCACGCCCCCGGCGTGGGCCAGTAGCCGCGCGTTGCTGGCTGTGGTTAACCCGTCGAAGACGCTGAGGACGTCGTTGGGAGACTCGGTGGAGAAGGTCAGGAAGTGGGCGCGGACGGTGGTGTTGGGGGCAGAGGTGACAGACCAGGTGGACACCAGGTTGTCGGGGTAGTTGGCCGGGTGGTAGGGGGACTTGACAGATATGGTGCCCCCTGAGGGTATAGTTAATGAACCACCCCAAGCCGTTGCTGTTATTAAGGAAAAAAATTAAATCTGATTTTAATTTTCTCATCAATTATTACCAAACCATATTCACGTCACAACTCAACCAAACCATCATGATGTCCTGGCCAAGCCAAGAATTGGTCAATAATTTCACATGCTATCCAAAGCAAGCTTTTACAAACCATTTGCAAAACAATGTAAGTCAGTGAGGCATGACTCAGACGATTGCATTCCAAGTATCAGTGGGAATTAAGATTATTACCCCAAGTTTATAATAAGGCATAATAATAGTCATTATTTGCACAGCTTTGCTATATATTTCCTTTGTGCACTGCCCTCTATAGACAACTTGCATTCGAATCACCTATTTGTCAAAGTACATCGATGCCACTATGGCCGTTTTCCAATACTCAACTTTGGCTCCGTCTCAGGCTTCAACTTTTTTTTTACTAGCTGACTTTGAAGCTGTAAGCACAGTAATCAGTCTAATAGTGCCACAGAACATCAAACAAGATGCAAGAAAGCCAAAAATTACAGTAATTCAATGTAATTGAAACGCTTCAGGCCCACAATTGGGGATTGATTTGGGGAACGAAGCCTGAGACGGAGACGAAGCTGAGTATTGGAAAATGGCCTATGATTAATTCAGCAACACTGATGAGCTGTGTTATCTGCCACATTCTTTCACCTGTCCCCCACCGCATCTATCACCCCATTTGTCCACACTTACCTATTTCACAATGCGTTCCACTGTACACGATCAGACACTTGCAGACATACTCAAACATCCGTTGCTGGCACGTTCCACCGTTCTGACAAGGGTTGCTGCCACACAAATCCTCGATAATAGCTACCAAGGAAATTCACATAAAAGTTAAGCACTGCACAGCATAATGCGCTTAATGATATAAGTGTTCATTACCTGCTAATTGCTTACAATACATATGTTCCAATGCCCTGTAAGGCAAAGGCGCCTTGGGTAGCCGCCAAACAACTCACATCTGCCTGTGGAACGTTCACGGACAAAGATAGTAAACGTTGCTTTTTGTGGAGGTTTGGAGATCCCTCGCAGCACAGGAGAGAACGAACAGGTACTCTACTCATATATGGCTTGGGGCGGGAATCGCACCTAGGTGAGCATTTATGCACTAACCACCTACGACCCCAGATCAGCATCGCATCAACAGAAAAAACAACATCTAGAGCTACGATAAGTATCACGTTGACCAATTTTCAGAGCTTCACGCTCTATTTTTCGCAATCTGCACTGAAGAATGTGTTTTTAGATGGAAGCGCTGCAAATGTCAATCTGTAAAAGTTTGGTCAAATATTTACCCAAGGAGATGAATTTGGAAGCCTATTAAATATACAGAGATATATAATATATATATATATATATAATATGTCACTATTGATTGCTATGAAATATGAGCAAAATACTAGCCTTGGTCCTTGGGAGTCCCAAGTTATTTTTACCTTGTTCACAAATGACTCCGGTGTAGTGTTCTGGGCAGGCGCACTCGATACCATCGCCAACGTTGTAGCACTGGCCACCGTTCACGCAAGGGCTGCTGGCACACGCTGCCTGATTGGCTGCGGAGAGAATTCAAGCACTGCTGGTGAAATGAAATTGTCGGCATTGGAAATGGGGGTTTGTGGAGTAATTTTGCTGACAGGAACTGATTCATTTCAGCTCGCCACAGGGCTTGTTGTCAAGGGGGGGTCAGGTTAATTGGCACAGTGGTTCTTTCCTTGCCTTCCACCTCTGCGGTCCAGGTTCGAATCCCGGCTCAGTCCTCATGTGGATAAGGTTTTCAGTCCCTACCTGATTCCGTGGGTTTTACTCAGAATATTCCTCTGGGGTTTTCCTCCCACCTCTAAAACTGCAACTGTTTCTTGTCTCCTCTCTAGAAGCTTCTTAAGGCTTGCCAGCAACACTGCCTAGGGCACTTTATGAGGAATCTTTGGTTTTATTGCCACAAATCAAACATCATAAAACTAAGCCAGATTGTGTCTGAGTATGATGCTCTCAATTCAGTTTCTATGCATGCATTCACTTCATCTCTTAACGCCTCTTCATTTTGATGGGGGAGGGGAGGTATACTCTACATGGCCCACCAGCAAAGCACGGAATAATTTTCTTGAGCTATCATCTTTTCTAATAAAGTTTAGTTACGTACCTATTTCGCATGTCTGCCCACTCCACTCCATGGGGCACAAGCACTCAAAGTTCTTGATGGCAGAGCCAATGGACTCTGAACGACACACTCCACCATTCTGGCAGATGTTGCTGTCACAGGGATCAACCTCAGCTGCAGAGGGGGAATATAAAAGGATTTTAGGGCAATATATGAATAATGACTGCTGTGCGCCCAATGAGATGATCCCTGAAACATAAAATAATTTAATGAAGTGGCAGATTGAATATTATGCTCCACAAGGCAAACCCAAGTAAAATGGAATAATCAATCCCTGTTCAATCACCAAATAAAAAATTCTTTCCTTGGACCAAACGGGAAACATTCATTAGTTGTTTTTTGTTTTATGCAAAGCTTGAAAAAAAATCCTGTGTTCAAGTCACACAAAATCGAGACACTGAGAAGTTGTCTTATTTCCAAATCAGGTCACTCTTCAGAAGATGTTCCTAGGCATCTTACAGTTTATTCTAATCATGTCATAATCATGTTTATTCTAATCATTATTCTAATCAATTTTATTCGTCTCATTCATATTTCAGAATACCGAAGTGAACACGTCACGGGCACAATTATATGTGTAAAAGGCATTAGCGCGAGAACCAGAGCGTGAACCAACACGCGTGCGTAATCTATTCGTTTGCACTGCACTTTCTGGTTCATAATGACGTCACACTTCAGTACTCTAATCAGCTTCAATTAAGAAGTTTGAAAATTTATTTGTAAAACCAGTGAAAAAACATGCTGCTGGACTCGTGATGGACTCAGTGACAAGCTCTGACCCACTTACACCAAGGATATTGAAAAGATCTGCCCAGCTCACCTGTTTGGCATTGCTTCCCGAGCCACCCTGTCTGACAGACGCAGGTGTAACCATTGATGCTCCCTTCCTCGGTCACGACACAGTCCCCTCGGCCGTTGCAAGGGCTGGGATCGCATGGCAATACTGTGACCAGTGAAAAAAAAACAACACTTTATAGGTCCAATCAAAAGATGTCAAAGTGCCACGTGACTGCCTGGTTTCCCTGAGGTGGGCCATCATTAAGGCAAACGTTTGGTCATCAACTGTACGTCATACAGTGCTGCCAGTTTCTATATAAAACAACTGTGAATTCATTATCAAATGGCATAACGGTCACCACTTGTGCCACATACTGTTGCCGTTACTGTTCCAATCCGATTCAGTACCACTCTTGAATTTCAAAGGCTTGCCCACAATGTCAATGCTGTGCATTCCGTCGCAGCTTTTGTCTGTTACAGTGGGGGATGTATGACCGGTCACGTGGGTCAGTGAGAATTCCAAGCTGCTCCGGATGGTGCCGTTTTACCAATTTTTTTGGGGAAGGGGGGTGGGTGGGGTAAGGCTCAATTTTTTTTGGGGGGGAGGAAATATTGCTTACGGAAAATATAGGGAGTTCTATATTGCTAATGGTCCAGAAAAAATTTTACTGGAAACAGAAATTCTTTCCCAAAAAAAAGCCTCTAAACAGAACAAGTGAGTGGGGATTTTTAGTGGGGCTCTCTTCAGATATAAGGAACGTGTGAAAATGACACCTTGAACTCTTCTGGTCTACTGTCGTAACACAACTCTTTCGTTTTGAACCACGTAGCACGGACACAGCATATTTCTCTTTTTGTTTGGACTTGTATGATTCAGCTCAGAGAAATTGAAATTTTGATCCAAGCAGAATCATCGTCAACGACCTCAGCAAAGATCCTCCACATTAGGCCTGCTTCAGATTTATATATTTCAGGTCAACATAGTCAGTGAGCAGTTTGCAGGAGGTTTTGCGTCAAGCATTTCTGTAAATTAAATTAAATTTAATTAAATTATTTTTTCATTTTCAACAACAAAGTCTCTAGCTCCATTTGTGTTGAACTGTGCATACAACAAAATAAAGAAAAGATGACTAACTGCAAGAATGTGCATACCTCTGTAAAGTTAAAATAATACGGCCGTTTCACAATAGTGCGCCGCCAAGAGTTTGCAACGCGTTGGCCAATCACAATGCGCGAATTTGTCAACCCAATGCGCGTTTGGAAAGAGTCGACAAATTCCGCACGTTATGATTGGCCAACGCATTGCAAACTCTTGGCGCACTATTGTGAATCGCCCGCATTGTCCTCTTTGAAGCAGCTGCCCGATTTTGCCCTGTTTGTTCAACGCCTACACCATACTGTGTGCCTTACCTTGATCACAGNGTGCCTGAAGATTACTTCGTGCGGCTATAAACAACCGTTAAATGAAATGATGAATTTTTGAAGGATTTTGAAAACAGAAAAAATGATAGTCATGCCGACCCAGCATCATCAACATTGAAAAATGCCCCGGCACGAAGTGGTGAAGGCAAATGTTTGGTCATCGACTGTACGTCATACAGTGCTGCCAGTTTCTATATAAAACAACTGTGAATTCATTATCAAATGGCATAATGGTCACCACTTGTGCCCTATACTGTTGCCGTTACTGTTCCAATCTGATTCAGTACCACTCTTGAATTTCAAAGGCTTGCCCACAATGTCAATGCTGTGCATTCCGTCGCAGCTTTTGTCTGTTACAGTGGGGGATGTATGACCGGTCACGTGGGTCAGTGAGAATGCCAAGCTGCTCCGGATGGTGCCGTTAGACCAATTTTTTTGGGGGGGGGTGGGTGGGGTAAGGCTCAATTTTTTTTTTAGTGGGGCTCTCTTCAGATATAAGGAACATGTGAAAAAAGCCACCTCGATCTCATCTGGTTTACTGTCGTAACTCAACTCTTTCATTTTGAACTACGTAGCACGGACACGGCATATTTCTCTTTTTGTTTGGACTTGTATGATTCAGCTCAGAGAAATTGAAATTTTGATCCAAGCAGATTCGTCGTCAACGACCTCAGCAAAAGATCCTCCACATTAGGCATGCTTCAGATTTATATATTTCAGGTCAACATAGTCAGTGAGCAGTTTGCAGGAGGTTTTGCATCAAGCATTTCTGTAAATTAAATTAAATTTAATTAAATTATTTTTTCATTTTTAACAACAAAATCTCTAGCTCCATTTGTGTTGAACTGTGCATACAACAAAATAAAGAAAAGATGACTAACTGCAAGAATGTGCATACCTCTGTAAAGTTAAAATAATACGGCCGTTTCACAATAGTGCCCCGCCAAGAGTTTGCAACGCGTTGGCCAATCACAATGCGCGAATTTGTCGACCCAATGCGCGTTTGGAAAGAGTCGACAAATTCCGCACGTTATGATTGGCCAACGCATTGCAAACTCTTGGCGCACTATTGTGAATCGCCCGCATTGTCCTCTTTGAAGCAGCTGCCCGATTTTGCCCTGTTTGTTCAACGCCTACACCATACTGTGTGCCTTACCTTGATCACATNAGGGCACCGGTGTAGTGTGGGGCACAGCTACAGGAAAAGCCGGCCCCCTGAACCTCACAGGTGGCGCCGTTCATGCACAAGTTGGGGTTGCAGGGATCCCGTACTGTAGAAAGGAAAATCAGAAAAAAAAAGTTTTTCTAAGATTTAACTTTGTTGGAGGTTTTGCAGTCAAGGCCATCGCAAGTCGATCACCAGTCATTCGGTCTAACATCACATGCTATTATAATAAACGGTGACAAAGGTATTCCTGTACCATTTGTTCAACCCCTGGAACCTGTCAACTGATTGGTGGATGGACTTGCACATGGTTTTATTAGTGACTGGACTAGTGATAGGTGGGACTTTTTGTTCAGGACATTTTGTGTCCAGTTTCTCGAGGCAGGCGCAAGTTCAAGGAGGTCCTGAGAATATAAATTTCGATAAGCACACAGTCTAGATTTTCTAAATCAAATCAGACAAGAACTCCAATCTCATTTAATGAGTGGCTGGTTCAAAGTTGATAATTTGCTGGAAAAATAACATAGCTATAAACAGGGCAATCTGTTGTTTAGGACTTTGATGAAAATAGATCTTGGATTTGTTCAAGTCTAAAGGTGTAAATATGAATTCTTCTCTTATTCTAGTCTTAGTTTGCTGATGTCGTTGTTTGAATTTAAAATTGCTACAGTTAAACCCACCACTTCCGCAAAGATCACCGACAAATCCAGGTGGGCACTGGCAGAAAAAGCTGGTAGTGACGATGGGCAAGCATGTTGCACCGTTAAGGCAGGGTGAGCTATCGCATGGTAAAACCACTGTCAGAAAAAAAAAAAATGAATCAAAGGTTTAACGGACGGAGGGGAAATAGTGCTCATGATAGCCACGCCCCACGAAAAGCCATGGCACTCGTGCTTGAAATTTTAGCTGGGAGCTATGTCACATTGGAGCCGTCACAATCAATAAAGCCTGCAAACCAGACGACCAGGCTAGGAAGAAGCCTCAGCCAGTCCTCCTACTTTCTCAATCAGGCTTTGGGTGATTAACCCTAACACTCCTAAATCCTCCAATTTCAATACGATTTTACATACTCCCTAGGGGGTAAGGGTTAAAGAATTCCTTACTTGTTTCTAGCACCGGGCTGAAACTAACAACCTTTGGCAGAATGGTAGATGATACAAGGGGCCTACAACACTGTTGACTGCTTCACACGAACAGACCTAATTTTGTTATCACAAATTCAAACTGTCCCTTTTAAGGGAGTTGTTTTCACTTCCTCATAAATAATAGAGTTGGAAAATCCCAGAATGTTTTCAGAACAATTTATGACGCAGGCTCCGATCTTGTTTGTCACTGATTCTGTTATCACCCAAGTTTCACCCAAGTTACAAAGGCAAACAAAATCGGGTCATTAGGATTGAAACTTAAGACATCGCAATCAGCAAGTATGCCCATGAGTGTGCACAAAGCAATTCAACTCCTCGATAGGTTATCACTTGGTATGGTTATGCTGGGGTACGTAGGCACCTACTTGTCTCACACAAGTCGCCTGTCCAGTCCGATGTACACTGACATTGACGTTGGGTACCGGACAGAAAGCAAAGTCCATTATTCAGACATGGATTCTCTTGGCATGGAGCTAAAACAGGAATGGAAAAAAAAAGAGTTCAGAGTTAAGATAACCTTTGCGTAAATATCCTTCTTCCTGCAAAAATGCTGTTTTTACAGGTATGGAAGATCTGGAATGAGGAAAAACTAAGAGGAGAATAGGGCTTGCACACTACAAATAACAGCCCAAAAGTAAGGCTGTGTTTAGACTCTGTTTCACAAGTTACAATAGTTTCTGCCTGATACTCACAAATGCCACAGTTGAGACCAGACCAGCCTGCTTCACAGTTACACTGGTAGCTGGTGAACCGGTTGACACAGGTACCAGTGATGCCGCAAGGATTGCTGGAACAGGGATTCAGCTCTGCAGAGTGGACCAAAAAAACTGTTACTGCTTGTGGTTACATGCGTCGGTAGGGTGTGACCTGCACATGAAAGCCAATGAGGAGCACATTACACGTGAGCACTACTTTTATACGCGCACATGCCAATAGAGCCTCGACCATGTCCAGCATCAACAGCAGTGACAACAGTACCATGAACAGCGCCAGCAATAGAAATGCAGCAGTAACAACAGCAACATCAACAACAGTAGAAACATCAGCAACAGCAGC